CTCCCTGCTTGAAGAATGGAGGCAATGAACTGCAAATGCAATTTTTGATTATTTTTACATTAAATGCACTACAACAAAAATAGTGTTCACAGAGCATCTGTTTTAGCTGACTTCAGCTTATCAGCAGTAGTCAGCAGCAGTCAAGGAATATTGTTCAGCTTCTGGTGCTGAAACTTGGACGTGCAGAACGTAGTCACAGACCGATAACTCTTTCCTCTGAACACCATAAAAGAAAAGCCAAAGCTGTGCTGAGGGGAATCAGTAGATGATGCCACTGACCATTGAACTCAGCGACAGAGATGGCTGCTGCTCATGGGCCTTATTGAAGACTGTGAATCCAACGGTCCCTATCTAAGATAAGTTACTGTTATACTTCTTCCTATTTAATTGTGTGTAATTATTTGCTAGCACTATATCAGGATGCTTAAAGCTGAACCTCAGGCAAATATAAATGACACCAATGAGTGTCTTTATTAATACATTGCCATTTTTTTTTTTTTAAATGTAAGCAGTGTAAGCACCTAATCTGACTTCTTATCAGCCTCTTGTAATCCCTATACAGCAGAGCTCAGGCTGGGAGAGAAAGGAGCAGAACAAGGTGCTAAGTAGGAACATGCTGATATGAGGAGTGAGCAGAGTGACAGAGATCAGCTGATCAGCCTGCTGCTACTCCTTTCTCTGTCCAGTCACAGACTGGGGAAGGGACAAGGCTTTGTAATTGTTACTGAACTCCAGCAGATTAAATATCGGGTCTCCTCTGCTTACCAGGCAGGGGTGCCCTGTGTGGCAGAGCTGTATCAGTCTCAGAACTGGTTGGACAGTGTATTTTGTTGTATGAAATTGTAAAGAGGGTATCCGCCTACCCCAGAGCTACCAAGATATTGGCCTGGACAGTGCAGGGACCTACAACTGGGTCTGGTGACAAATTCCTGTTGAGTGGACTGTGTAAAGCTGTAAATATTCTCATACCAGTTTGGTGAATTCATCCACGCAGGAATTCCTTATCCTCTCCGGGGTGGCAGGACTGTCCAGTCTAAATGGTCCTGTAATACCAGATTCTGCTCTGGCTGATGTGATGGCGTCCTTAATGGCATAGAATATGGAGGCTGACAAGAAAAGAGGAGGCTCCCCGACTGCCTGGATTATACACAAACAAATACAACAAATCAGCAAACACAAGTCATTAAAGCCGACCTAAAGGTTAAATATTCATTCTTCATCCACCGTGTCCTATGCCTAACCAGTGGTCCCATGATCTCTGCCAAAGTGTATTGGGGGACTGCTGTCCATTCAGCAGCTCTGTCTGTTCTTCAGACCATGTTGGCAATGCCAAGGCAATAGTCACATGACCTTAAAAAAGCAATCCATGCTAAAATGTTGTGTATATCTTAATCAGTTTTAAGATTGATTCCTATGTCCTCTACAGGGTTGATTTATAAATCTTCAGCCCGTATAGCTGGGTGAATGCCAATTAGATGAAGCAGAGGAGCATAGAAAATTATCGTGCTCATTAGCGCCATCTAGTGGTGATAGTGCTGTGTGAATCTACAGTATATGCTGAGTGGAAGATTTATAAATCAGCCTCTATAGGTATCATTTCTTCCATTGCAGCAAAATTAGAAATGAAAATTCTTCAAGGGAAGGTCCATGTGTAAAGATAAGAGGTAACACTGTGACAAAGTGGTTGGCTTGCCTTGCAACACTGGGGTTGTGGATTGCCTTTGATCTAAGGATGTAGTCTGCATTAAAGCTATAACTATTCACCATCTTGGCATTGTTTCTTCAAATAAACTGCTATGCTAACTGGTTTCCATATAAACTGGCCCTAGCGAGTGCATGTGCTTTGCGGTGCTGGAAATATAAGACCTAAGTCTCTCCTGTGGCAATGGCTGATCTCAACCATTCAATGTTCTCTGAAATATGTTGAAGAAAATGACTATGGTATATAAATGAAAAAATAATTCTATCTTCAGATTAAGTTTCCCGCACTACTGCATTACATCAAACATTTCCAAGCCAGAGACATTAATCTAAGAGTTGAAGATTCTTCAAAACGTACTTTGGAGGAGTAGATGGCCTTGTTGTTCGGACAGTCGCGCAGAAGGGATACGTTGAATTCCGTCGGGATGTCACCAAAGGCTGGAATTTTATACATCCCGGGGCCTCGCGTATACAGGTTGCCCTCTGCGGAATACCTCAGCTCTTCCAAGGTGAACAGGCCAAGGCCTTGTACAAAAGCTCCTTCAACCTGTGAGGACATATAGATGACTGACATTCTGGTGCCACCATAGTCAACAGGCAGGACGGTTTGGTTGCCGCAATACCAAATCAGCAGCAACAGCAATTCTAAGTTACTCACCTGTCCTATGTCTATGGCAGGGTTAAGACTGGCGCCAACATCCATTACTATATCTGTGCGCAGGTTCTGAAAAAGATTGTTTGATGGAATATGAAAGTGGACCTGAACTCAAAACGTGGAGACTGTTAAAGGTTCTGTTACAGGGAACATCTAGAATCGTTAATTGTGCCTAAGCAGTACGCTGAAAAATCTTTTTTTCTGGAATTCCCCTTAAATTCCTGTTTCCTGGTCTGTGATTGTGCCTAGGTTCTCCTGTTCTGTAGCCTCATAGATGTATATCTGCATTGTGAGATCTCAGGCACTGCTGCCTCTGACTGCTAGATTTGGTGATGTCACTACTGTGCTCCTCACTATTTTCCTTGCTGGAGGCTCTAACATGAGGAAGCCAAGTCTTGCCTATTCCAAGATGGCTGCCTCCACATAGAAACACAGTGCAAAACGAAGCATGGTAAGTCAGTATTAGGAAAAACATCTGCTGCCAGGAGCCCGCATGCCAAGGATGTGCGGTCAGGGGAGGCAGAGCCTCACCTAGAATTATGGAGGAAAAAGCTGTCAGCTTCAGGCTTTTTCTCCATTCAGATCGGCATCTAACAGGTTACCCAGCAGGGAAATCCTCCCCGTTGTGTAACCTGTCATGGGCGGAGCGCCTCAGCAGTGAGGAGCAAGTCAGGGACAGGGAGGCTCCTTCCTGTCTCCTCCCTTCCTCCTTTACACTAGCTTGGGGATGGGTTGGTAGGTGGGGCTTCGTCCAATGGGGGCGGGCTTTGGCCGACAACGGGGGGGCTTTGGCCGGCGGTGGGCCTGCATGGGGAATGCCTCACCCGGAGCAAGAGGTACCGCACGTAACTGCCACATGCTATGCTAGTGACTAGTCCTTTGTCCTCTTCTTGTATACAGGCATATCAAACACTAATATTTCAGCTAGAGATGAACATTGGCAAATGCTCAATTAGGCCCTGCGGTTTTTTTCTCTACAGGGAAACAGTACAGGGTCTCCCTGAGTGACCACCCGTTATAGAGGCTCACTGCTCCTCTGGCTTTTGTAAATAAAAACAAAGGTGGAAATCAATAGAAAGGGAGCAAGATCCACCTTGTAATGGCCACAGAATGTAGGAGGAGCTGGGAACACAGGTGCACAGATCTTGCTACTTGTGTCCTTGAGATATGGAGGAAGATAGCTGCTGATTCAACCTGCCAGCTGCTGCTTATACCCAAAATATCTCTTTCTGGTAGAGTTGCTCTTTCAAGCTCCATGCAATTTTCAGAATATCGGATACATCTTTTATTTTTTTTCAGCCTCCCTTTTTTTTCTATCACTGCCTATTGTCCCACCCCTGCACTGCAAGGGTTAAGTCCTTGTTTTCTCTAGGAACTCCAATAAAGCAGTTTTACTCGCCCAATCCTTGGTCCTGCCGTGGTCAGTGCTCACCTCTCTTCCCCTCTTCTCCGGCTATGGAATGTCCCTCAGTGTCCTCACATCTAATGATGTGATGATGTCAGCGGTCCTTAGAGTGGCAGAGGAGGGGGAGGAGGCTGCGGGGACTGGTCAAGAAGACAAAAGGGAGCCGGTGGCTCAGGAAAGTAAATCTGCTTTATTTGAGCCCCCCAGACAAAACGAGCACTTAACCCTGTGCGGTGCGAGGGTAGCCCCACTGCACAGGGTAAGTTTTTGATTTTCATGAAGGTATACACTGAGGATTTATTACACCAGGAACAAATGGATGCCATAGGCACTGTTGTGGTGTTACCTGTGGGCTGCAAGGCATTGGGGTCAGTGTTTTAATTCTATTGCTACAGCAACAGAATGGTCACATGACTAGGACCTAGACACCGGTTTCTGGAACACATTGGTCACCAGTGTGGTTTCTGCAAGGCCCAGAATATAAGAAATTTAAGGAGCAAGGCATGGGGTATCGTATGTTTTAGTGAATGTGTAGGCTTTTAGGACATTATATCCTAGGGGGTTCCAGAGGATAGGAGACAGTCCTGAATTTAAAACAAATTAAATGTAATGATTTGTAGTGGACTTGAGCCCAGAGTTGGACTTAAATGGAACCTTTTAATGGAAGTAAATATTTTAACAACCTTGTTTTTCGTATTGCCTGTAATTCTATAGGTGTCTTACTAGCTAGTTACATATGCAAAGTATTTGCACTGGGGCGCCCTCTAGTGGCTAATCTACAAATCTTTTGTGTGTATTGCTGGTAGCGATATGTCACAGTTGCCAAAAGCTGCTGTAGCCTGGCTACTATGGGACAAACACAACTCAAGGGAAACATCCCTAAGTAACAGTCAGGGGGTTGATACCTTGTGGTCACCAGTTAAACAGTCAATCTCAACTTCAGAACATGCCACTCCATAGCTGTAGTAGTTGCTGGGCTTGCCTTCATTCTTTATGGGATCATAGCCAATTCCTTCAGTCCTGAAATGAACAAAAAGCTAAATTATAATGGATTTGGTCTATTTTGCATGCTAAGTAATGTGTAATGGTTACAGGTATTTATTACCTCTCACAGAGATCACAGTACTCCCACTGACAATGCATGAATACGCTTTTCTCTGCAGAAGAACGGCACCATGTTTGATCAGGCATCATTCAGGGTCACTATTTACTTCCTGGGCTGAAAGATGGCACAGGCATGTAAATCCTGGTGCCTGTGCAGTTCACAAATACTGCATCTGAGACAGATAATCCTCTGCTACAGCTTCTCACCTTGTGATTTGCTTTAAAGGAGAATTATGGGGAGTGAAATACACTCATCTCCATACTTAGAGCCGACGTGGACTACAATCTCAATACCAATTAGTAAATTAAACGTGAGATTGTAGTCCATCACATCCCTGTCTACAGCCGAGTGATACACAAATAAGATACATTTTTGTTCATAGTTAAGGTGCTCAGTGATATTGAGTTGCTGTTATAGAAAACTTTGGACAACCGCAGATTGCAATGGAAGTATAATGTGTACAAATTTACAAAATGGTTACAGAGTTGAATCAAAGTTTGACAAGTGTTGACATACTTATAGAATCCTGTGGCAGAGAGGCTCACCCGGTCCTCATAAGCTGCTGTTATCTGGAATAGAAAATAGTAGATGAATCATCCCCATGCATTGCCAGGAATGCTGATACAAGATGGTCCAGATGGTAGAAGCAAGCTCTCTGGCTGGTTCACACACAAGGCATACACAGTGCGCTCTCTCTCCCTCTGTAGCAGTAGTGGCTGAGCTTTGCATTGTGCGACAGAGGAAGAGAGAGCGCATTGCACATGTGCGGTGTTTGAACAAGCCAGAGCGCTTGCTGCTTCTGTTTTGGGGGCACATTTCTGATGTCTGGCAAAGAGGGGGGGGGGGTACCAAGGAGGAGTGTGAGCAGATACCTCCGAGTGCTGGTTTGTATCAGGAGATGCAACAGGGATTACACAAGGTGTTATTAGAACCTGCCCTCACCCAAACCTGGTCAGCCAAGAGTACCTGTAGTCACGAGATTGTTGCATTATCACTTCATTTCCATGCCCATGGCCTGATTTACAATGTAACGTACCTAGCACAGACATTTATTTTTGCTTATGCATCAACGTCAATTTTGGGTGGCAGCTGATTAACATTCAAGTTTGACATGTGGACAAAACTGGAGCACCCAATAATAACCTTCACAAATCACAACAAGCTTTATGAAGCTAGATCACTGGTGGGTATCAAACCTAAGACCCGAGAACCCTGGTGGGTATAAAACCTAAGACCCGAGAACCCTGGTGGGTATAAAACCTATGACCCAAGATCCCTCGTGGGTATCAAACCTATGACCCAAATGCTGCCAAGCATGAGTAGAAAATGCTTAGCCACTAGGAATGAGCTTAGGTTTAGACGGAACCAAGTCCGATCCTCAGCTCCTCTGAACCGGGAAGCTACATGTGGCTACCCACCCAATCAAGTTTGGACCTGCTTCAGTCTGAACCTAAGCTCATCCATATTAGCCACCATACAAAAGTTACATGTATTTACATACCCAGCTCTCCCATGGGTCTGCGGGGTTGGATTTCTTGTAGGGTTCCAGCCTCTGCAGTAGTGTCTGACAAGCATTCTGTAGGACAAGATAAATGGTTACACCACCACAAACCAACATTCCAAATATGTAATCCAGCAAACATTGATGACATCATAAACTCTATGGGGTCTACTTATAAACTATCCACAGGGCCCTTTGCCCTGCGAATATTTGTTAACATACAATCTGTTCAGCTATACATGCCAAAACAAACATTCTTTAGTTGTTTTTTTACAAACAAATAATAAATAAATAAAAATACTGTAGCACTGTATTTAGATTTTGTCATGTAATACCACATTGTGGCCATTAGAAAGCATTGTGGAGCATATCAAATAAATATTTATTTCCTATGCTCTTTCAGCGCCATCTAGTGGCCATAATTCAATATTACATGAAAACTTTTGAAAATTCATTGTACTAGCATAGAAAATAAATAAAGAATATTCGTTTTGGCATAAATCCACACAGATCAAACGTTTACAGATATTCGGAGGATGAACGGCCCTGCTAAATATTTATAAATAGTCCACTACATTAAAAAAAAGAATAGACATAGACAGTCATTTCTCTGCCTACAGTTTGCTCATCAGACTATATCTCAAACCTTGTCTCAAAGTATCACCCTAACCGTCCCCTCCGCTCTTCAAACGACCTTCTGCTTTCCAGCTCCCTCGTCAACTCCTCCCATGCTTGCCTCCAGAACTGCACTAGAGTCTCTCGCATCCTCTGGAACTCTTTACCACAACCTGTCCGTCTATCTCCCACTCTGACTGCCTTTAGGCAATCCGTTAAGAATCATCTCTTCAGGGAAGCCTATCCCACCTCAACCTAACCACTCAGCCATCACATTGTCAAGCAATTCATCCCCACACAGCTACCTCCTCATGTATCACTGGCCCCTCCCTTTTAGAATGTAAGCCCTCAGGGGCAGGGCCCTCCTTACCAGCTTGTCTTGAATTGTATTGTGATTGTAAAGTCTTCTTTATAGTGTAAAGCGCTACGCAAACTGTTGGCGCCATATAAATTCTGTATAATAATAATAATAGCACAGTGAGTCAGCAGACAGGTGACAGAGGTGTTTGCAGTGTTTCAGTTATAAATAGGGGCATCACCAGGCTATGCATCACAGCTGTGCACCTGCCCTGCTCATCCCTCCAGGGATCCGGTTTTCTGGACTTCTACCAGGCACCGTGTCTGAACACTTTGGCATCCGTGCTTCTCTCTGTCTACTTGCTCCCTGTTCCCACATCGCTTTTGCCTCTCTTCACATAGAATGAACATTCACAGACATTCGCAGGGTGAATGGCTCTACAAATTGTTCATAAATAGACCCTCTTCGTCAAGTCTTCCTGGCACTGACATAACACTGGTCCTGCCTATGCCCAGCCTTACACTAAGGCCTAAATCAGCGGTTCTCAACCTGTGGGTCGCGACCCAAAAGTGGGTCGCAACTCACTGTTGAGGGGGTTCGCAGCGTCCACTTCTGCTGCGCTAGTTGAGAGGCTCCTCAGCCTCCTCCTTGCGCAGGAGTGTCAGTCAGCGGGAGGACAGCAGAGGCTGTGAATATAAAAGTGCCGCTATACACACTCCCTGGCTGCTGCAGCGGCATCTAGTGGCCGGGGAGGGTGTACAGCCGGGCTTTTCTATTCACAGCCGCTGCTGTCCTCCTGCCTCCCATACAATGAGAGCTCTGCAGGAGGTGGGCTGAGAAGGCTGCATGGAGACAGAGCAGGCAAGCAGGTAGCAGGGGCCAGGGAGGGCTTGTATTCTTGTGAGTGTGCTTCTATATTTAGTCCAGCGCTGTGGAGTCCAGCGCTCCGTTGAGGGTCACCACAACTTGGCAAATGTTACCAAGGGGTCCCGGCCCTAGAAAGGTTGAGAACCACTGGCCTAAATGAAAGAACCTTGACAATTACATCTTCTTACATATATAGCCATGCCATTGAGGTCTGAGCTGACGGAGGCAGCGGTTGGCGATGTGTTGGGCACCGTGTTTGTGCTGGTCTCACTGATGTGTATTTTAGAAGTTGGTATTCCCAGAGCTCTACTGGCCACCTATATGAGAATAGAAAAACGGATATTAGAGAAAACAATGCACTGATTTTTATGTGTCTGTATTAACTGCATTGTAATGTTTTATTTGACACACAGGGAAGAACTGGAAGGGTGATTGTGAGCCGGGTCTTCTCATCTGACATCAGTACCTGACCTCACAAATGCTGGTTTGACTGAACGGCACAAATTCTCACAAACACCCTCCAAAATCTTGTGAAAAGCCTTCCTAGAAGAACCGAGACTGTTATAGCTGCAAAGGGGGCAACTCCATATTAGCGGCCATGGTTTTGGAATGGGATGTCTAACTATCTCATACAGGGGTGATCAGGGCCGGATTTCCTACAAGGCCACCGAGGCCCGGCCTAGGGGCAGCAGGGAGCAGAGGGGGCAGCAGGGGTATGGAATTCCTACATGAACACTGAGACAGGAACGCTGTATCGCAGCCTTCCCATCTCAGCTGTCACAGGAAAGCCAGCACAGTGTAGAAAATTAAATACAAATTTAAAAAAATAAAAATTGATTAGAAAAATAATGAAATAAGTAAAAAGTAAGTAACAAATAATTTAAAAAATAATAACTTAAATTGCATTGAGGAATCTGGCCTTGGGGCAGCAGAGAGAGTAAATCCGTCACTGGGTGTGATGGTCAGGTGTCCACAAACCAATGTCTATATAGTCCATGGGTGTCATCTGTATGTTATTTTGGATTAATGTAAAGATTCCCAACACATAGATTATTCAAAATAAAGCCAAGAAACATAATAATACATTAAATACATAAAATTCGTCCTACCTGCTATAGTATTTGCATTACCTGAACCATTTTGGTGTGCAGCCCCTGACCCATTTCTGTCCCGCCGTGGGTTAACAGGACTGACCCATCTATGTACACATGGACCAGAGCTCCGGCCTGTAGAACAGAAGACATGAAGAACATATGAAATGGACACAGGAAGCATCTCAATAACCGGAACTACTTCCTAAACATGAAAGTATCAGGGGTTTGTTTCTTCATCAGGTGATTGGTCCTTGGTTTTGTGTTACTATTAGCTTTTGGCAAAGCTGGGCTGATTTTCGGCACCTGGCTGTAGGTATTTCGAGTGATGTAGAAAAATGAAAGGGGTCAATTTGTAAACAATTCCCAGAGCTTTTTGTAATTGGAAACCCTGTAAAGGTTTGTTGTGTGTGAATGGAGGCCAAAAAAAAAAAAACCGAACGTTCTCAGTATATTTTCAAGCCAAATCTAATATTAGGGAACATAGTGCATTATGGATACTACATGGACGAAGTATATATTTCCTATGCTCCTCAGCTCCATCTACTGGCCATAATGTAGCATTTTCCAGATATTACATTCAACTTGAAATATACTAAGAACATCCACTTTTGCTACTATGTGCACAGAACATACCATTAGACCCCATAGTGTTGTTATCAAGCATCTGCATTGCACTCTTCCACAACATGCACACTTGGGGTTGACTGAAGTGTCATTAACTAAAGGCATGTGCAAACAAACTGCTCCTAAAAAAAAAAGAGAGGACCCCGTTTCTCTTTTAACAAACCTGGTTGAGGAGGGCAAGGGTGAAACAGATGCCAAACTTGGTTGGGATTATAGAGATCCCCCTCTTCTTCCATCGGTGTTGCCTGCATGACAATACACAGACACATTACAGATATATAAAGTTTTTACATGTTTTGTCTGTGCAGTGACACAGGGAAAACCCCGACCATTAACCTGACCTTCAACGTAATGCAGCTCGATTTAGCAAAGCTTCTCACGTGAGCGTTGGGTGGTTCCTGAAAGTGCCAAGTTCTACCATTTCCTAGTACAGGAAATGAGTTGCCACCACCAGGTGACTTGACTCGCATCCAGTTTTGGGTCACTGCTGACACCACAGCCTTAAACATGTGAAGCTACAACCATGGGTCCACTAAGAGCATTTGAGAAGCCAAAGGCCAGGGCCATGGTTCCTAAAAGTGCCAAGTTCTACCATTTCCTAGTACAGGAAATGAGTTGCCACCACCAGGTGACTTGACTCGCATCCAGTTTTGGGTCACTGCTGACACCACAGCCTTAAACATGTGAAGCTACAACCATGGGTCCACTAAGAGCATTTGAGAAGCCAAAGGCCAGGGCCAGTGCTGGACTATTTTGCGCCCTAGGCAAGACCAGCACCACCCACTCCCGTGGCGCAACTCCCAATCCACCCCCCCTCC